TAAAATAATTGGTTTTAATCAGCATCAAGAGGGGCTGTAATATATAATGTATCGGGAAAATGCCATTGGAAGAAAATATCTTCAACATGATGTTAGAAATTAAATTATCAGACAGACTGTAGGGACAACACCAGGCAGCAAATTCATTGAGTAACAGAAGATCGAATGGTTTGGTCATCTAGTAAGAATGCAGCCAGAACAACGACCAATGAAGGCGCTGCACGAGAAAGGATCTGATATCAAATGAAAGGTTACTTTAGGAGGACATGGATTGATGACATTAGAGAGCTTCTGCATCGACACGAATGAAAATAGCCATTGGATCGCAAACTGTTCCTCCCCACAACGCTTAAAGGTGGAAGTGGAAATTGATGATGATGATGATCCGTCAAACAGGAAGTTTTTCTCTGACACTATTGGTTAAAATAAATCATTGTAAGTGATAAAATCGTGCTATATAGAATGACAAAAGAGCGGCAGGTGGAGGATGTCTCAAGTGGTTCAGTGCAGAGCTAACTAAAGGCGGACCATGTTCTCATGACCAACAGTCATCAACGCTGTCCCTTAATCAGACAGAAAATGTGTGTACTTCTCACAGCTGTGGTCCAACTGGAAGTCTGTGTTGAATTTATTCAACGTTTTTAGGTGCCACATTCAAGAGGCGTTGATGTTTAAAAAAAAAATGCGCTTTCATATTTTGGTTTTCCAGTGTGAGTTACAGTGCTACATTTTTAGGAGTGGAAAAAAAGGAGGGGCGGGGGGAAGAACAGATTCTTTGCCCCATAACAAACATGCCCCAAAAAAGTGACTTACTGAGCGTGTTTTCTTTCAAATCGGAGTGTATCTCTGAGAGGCAAGGAACCAACAGTGTATAGGCCAACAGTGTGTTTACCAACAGTGTGTATACTAACAGTGTGTATACCAACAGTGTGTATACCAACAGTGTGTATACTAAAAGTGTGTATACCAAAATGTAGTTTACCAATTAACTGTGTATAACAACAGTGTGTATACTAACAGTGTGTATACCAACAGTGTGTGTACCAAAATTTAGAATACCAACAAACAGTGTGTATGCCAACAGTGTGTATACCTAGAGTGTGAATGCCAAAAGTGTGTATACCAACAGTGTGTAAACTAGCAGTGTGTATACCAACAGTGTGTATACCAACAGTGTGTATACCAACAGTGTGAATGCCAAAAGTGTGTATACCAACAGTGTGTAAACTAACAGTGTTTGTACCAACAGTGTGTATACCAACAGTGTGTATATCACTTGTGTGTATACCAACAGTGTGTATACCAACAGTGTTTATGCCGAAAATGTGTATACCAACAGCGTGTATACCAACAGCGTGTATACCAACAGCGTGTATACCAACAGCGTGTATACCAACAGTGTGTATACCAACAGTGTGTATACCAACATTGTGTATACCAACAGAGTTTATACCAGCAGCGTGTATACCAACAGCGTGTATATCAACAGCGTGTATACCAACAGCGTGTATACCAACAGCGTGTATACCAACAGTGTATACCAACAGCGTGAATACCAACAGAGTGTATACCAACAGCGTGTATACCAACAGCGTGTATATCAACAGCGTGTATACCAACAGCGTGTATACCAACAGCGTGTATACCAACAGTGTATACCAACAGCGTGTATACCAACAGCGTGTATACCAACAGTGTGTATACCAACAGCGTGTATACCAACAGCGTGTATACCAACAGCGTGTATACCAACAGCGTGAATACCAACAGAGTGTATACCAACAGCGTGTATACCAACAGCGTGTATACCAACAGCGTGTATACCAACAGTGTGTATACTAACAGTGTGTATACTAAGAGTGTGTATATCAACAGCGTGTATACCAACAGTGTGTATACCAACAGTGTGTATACTAACAGTGTGTATACTAAGAGTGTGTATATCAACAGCGTGTATACCAACAGTGTGTATACCAACAGTGTGTATACCAACAGCGTGTATACCAACAGTGTGTATACTAACAGCGTGTATACCAACAGTGTGTATACCAACAGTGTGTATACCAACAGCGTGTATACCAACAGTGTGTATACCAACAGCGTGTATACCAACAGCGTGTATACCAACAGTGTGTATACCAACAGTGTGTATACCAACAGCGTGTATACCAACAGCGTGTATACCAACAGCGTGTATACCAACAGTGTGTATACCAACAGTGTGTATACCAACAGTGTGTATACTAACAGTGTGTATACCAACAGTGTGTATACCAACAGTGTGTATACTAACAGTGTGTATACAAACAGTGTGTATACCAACAGTGTGTATACCAACAGTGTGTATACCAACAGTGTGTATACCAACAGTGTGTATACCAACAGTGTGTATACAAACAGTGTGTATACCAACAGTGTGTATACCAACAGTGTGTATACTAACAGTGTGTATACCAACAGCATGTATACCAACAGTGTGTATACTAACAGTGTGTATACCAACAGTGTGTATACCAACAGTGTGTATACTAACAGTGTGTATACCAACAGTGTGTATACCAACAGCATGTATACCAACAGTGTGTATACTAACAGTGTGTATACCAACAGTATGTATACCAACAGTGTGTATACTAACAGTGTGTATACTAACAGTGTGTATACCAACAGTATGTATACCAACAGTGTGTTTACCAAAAACAGTGTGTATACCAAACGTGTGTATACCAACAGTTTTTATACAAATAAACCAGATCTGCACCCAAAACTCGATCGGCTCGCTGGTTGTCTAATCTGCTCGCCGATAGACGACTTCTGGTTGTTTTCATGCGTTTTTCATGTGTGTCCTTTTCAGAGCCATCTTTTATTCACTTCTGGACTTCTGGAATTAGCTAAGTTTTCTTCTAAACGCCAGGTTAGGGATTTTATCATACCACTAAACTCCATATAGACTTGTGTCATATTAGACGCCATAGCGACTTAGAAAAGTCAATAGTGTAGTACGTTTCAAAAGTAGTACCCTCACACTTTAACAAATTTCTTAAAAAGGCATCAACGCGAATTGTTGATGTGGCCATAGATTCTTCATATCCTAATGATATCATAATTCAATCTGGCAGCCCCGGTACTGATTAAGAGCCCGCATAAATCCTACTGACTTTGCTTTGACTGTATCCTCTCTGTGTTGTGAATTATAGCTGTGATGCTGACTTTGTTGCTCCTTTTTTATGCAATTTTTTTTTTTCAATTGTCACCTGACTTTGTTGTCTTCTTTTTTATGTAATTTTTTTCAACATGCTCACTTCAAAGAGTCTTCCAGTATTAGAAAAAAATGTCGCAAAGAGTGGCTACATGATGATATAATTAAAGACTGGCTGATGGCAGTTCCTGGCGATACGACGAAGGCTCGCTGTGAGTACTACAAGCATGGAATTACAGCGAAAATACAAGACTTAAAGAGTCATGCAGAGACTAAAAAGAATAAAACTTCGTTTCCAGGGACTGTTGACATAAAATAAAGAGAAAAACTCGAGAACGCGGTGTCAAGATTTCCTTGTCCCATTATTCAAGCAACTGAAACAGAGACTTCCTGACAATCTAAATGTATTGAAGTATTTTTCACTTTTTTTCTGAGAGCAACATACTTTAGCCAGTAAAGGACATACTTAAATATTGTAAAGTTATGACATTGTTAGGGGCTACTGATGATAGTGTGGCGGAAGCAGAATGTCAATTAACCAAAATAAACTAAAGCATACCCGAGTCATTTTTTTTAAATCTGAAGCTTCAACTTCTTCATCTAAGCTAAGTTTATTCTGTGGATCTTCTGAGACAGACATAACTGAAGATGATGACATGATTATATAGGGTAATTCATATCAATAGCTATTCAATTTGTGACTGTTACAAAGAACAACACGCGCATCGTTCACATCAGACAGATAGACAGTCATTCTAAGTAGAGAAAAACTGACTGGACAGATTCATAGAGGCAGGACGCATAATTCTGAATAACTTTCAACAAAACATGCAGGGGTGTCAGCACACCGGTTGATTCCTTCTTTAGGGAAACAGTAGGGTATGGAGAAACATGGCTGATGTCACTACAAGAGACAAAGGCACTTGATGACGACGTCGTTACCACATTGTGTTCTCGCACGCGTGCCTGTCTGTCTGTCTGTCTGTGCGAGCCTAAGGTGTTTTCTTTCCTAATGGCTAGCGCTGTAGTCACAAACTGTGCAGGTAAAAATTTTAATTTTTGCCCCGACTGAAAAAACAAGTCCATAGCTTTCTGAGAAACGGACCTAAGTCTCTCGCATGAGATGCCGGCGTTCTGGTAAATGGGAAGTGGCTAATCGAGCAAAGTACATTGTGATCACAAAAAATATTTACTCAGCAAGATTCCGCTACCAGGTTACCGAGGTCCTTAGGTAAAGCAAATAAAGGGTCACACTGCACCCACCCAGACATGTCGTAAGAGGCGACTAAAGATAACGTCACGCTTGGCCACCCCTCTCCATGGAAGCTGTTCTCCCCCCCCCCCCCCCCCCCTCAAATCGAGCTATGAACAATTGGAATAAAGAATACATTTGGGCAGGAAAAAAAAAAGGGGGGGGGGGGTAGATGCATACATTAGTAAAGTCTAGAATGACGACATGGGCTGATTTTACAGTGAATGATCCAATGGGGAATTAAGATAAGAAGAGATATAAACCCGAAGGAAAAGTATACCAGCAAGCTTTACATTATAACAAACACGAATGAAACATGAACGTTGCGGCTAGGAAGCCTACATCAGCACATACACAAATTAGACAATACTACACAAATACACAATATCACTTATCTTTGAATCTCGAATTAGCCAGATCGATGTCTAGCCAATAGACGAAGAAAATAAGACCAAAAGAAGTACCACAAGAACATACTTTCCTCGACCCAAGGCAACAGTCCCTACACAAAGAATTGCAGGGTGTCTACGAAAGATTTTTGGGACTTACCCTCTGTACGGTCAGTGGCTGGTGCAGATCCTTTCCTCCCTGGAGCCGAAATCCCCAAGGAGTATTGAAAGAGTCACGGAACAAGTGGATCTGTAGTCGCGAGCCTGGCATCTTGCTTGGTCCTTCGATGCTGATGTCTACCTGGTGGTCGCCCTGCTCCTCATTCACGCCATCTCTCCCTGGCTGCTTGGACTGCAGCGTTTGCCGACTGGCACAACTCACTCGCGCACGTATCTGGCTGGAGCGAGCTCAGCAATCTCTCGTCCACCAACTCATAAACCGGAATCTCCAGGAGGGTGTGATATTTTCTGGCTGCCATTTCCCTGTTTTGTACTTTACCTGTGCGTGCATAGGCGGAGATGAGGTAAATCGTTAATGGGGTTATCGTCTGATTCGTCTAGGCATTCACCGGCTGTAAACTCCGGCAGAAAGTTCTGACTGTTCCATCTATGGTCCACTGAGTTACCTGGGTACATTAGATAGGCAATAAATAATAGAACTGTACCCACCCACTCATGTCGCTGTTACATGTCTTTTTCCAGAAACTGAGTTTACATGCACATCCGTTTTACAAACTTTGTTTGCATTTAGACAGCCCTCGGTAGGTGCTAGAGTGCCGCTCCAAGGCAATACTTTTGGTGCAATTGACATCTTATAGCCACTATAATTGGAACAAAGAAACCAGACCACAATTATAACCGACATTGCTCGCAGTAGGTTGACCGTAGTCTAGTTTTTGTTTTGTTTTACATAAATGGACAAATGAATGTTAGTTCATTGCCTCTCAGACAGGTGCACGTCGATTCCGAAGGAAGTCCCAATCAGACGAATTTTACGACATGCTTGTTGGGGCAGCGGTGTCTATTAATTGTTCCCACACAATGAGACCCGGTAACCCACACAAAGAATTTTAAACCGTACCCAAAAAAAAGTTTAGTAAGCACTCGGACAAAATAGGAGAGTGAAAAAAAAGGAACTAGAATTAAACCAGCTGTAATAGTTGTAACAGCAGCAGCACTAGTAATAGTAACAGCGGCAGCACTAGAAGTAAAAGCAGCAGCACTAGTAGTAGTGAAAGCAGCAGCACTAGTGGTAGTAACAGCGGCAGCACTAGTAGTAGTAACAGTAGCAGCACTAGTAGTAGTAGCAGCGGCAGCACTAGTAGTAGTAGCAGCGGCAGCACTAGTAGTAGTAAAAGCAGCAGCACTAGTAGTAGTAACAGCGGCAGCACTAGTAGTAGTAACAGCGGCAGCACTAGTAGTAGTAACAGCAGCAGCACTAGTAGCAGTAACAGCGGCAGCACTAGTAGTAGTAGCAGCGGCAGCACTAGTAGTAGTAACAGTAGCACCACTAGTAGTAATAATAGCAGCAGCACTAGTAGTAACAGCGGCAGCACTAGTAGTAGTAGCAGCGGCAGCACTAGTAGTAGTAACAGTAGCAGCACTAGTAGTAATAATAGCAGCAGCACTAGTAGTAGTAACAGCGGCAGCACTAGTAGTAGTAGCAGCGGCAGCACTAGTAGTAGTAGTAGCAGCGGCAGCACTAGTAGTAGTAGCAGCGGCAGCACTAGTAGTAGTAACAGTAGCACCACTAGTAGTAATAATAGCAGCAGCACTAGTAGTAACAGCGGCAGCACTAGTAGTAGTAGCAGCGGCAGCACTAGTAGTAGTAGTAGCAGCGGCAGCACTAGTAGTAGTAGCAGCGGCAGCACTAGTAGTAGTAGTAGTAGCAGCGGCAGCACTAGTAGTAGTAGCAGCGGCAGCACTAGTAGTAGTAGTAGTAGCAGCGGCAGCACTAGTAGTAGTAACAGCGGCAGCACTTGTAGTAGTAACAGCGGCAGCACTAGTAGTAGTAAAAGCAGCAGCACTAGTAGTAGTAACAGCAGCAGCACTAGTAGTAGTAACAGCGGCAGCACTAGTAGTAGTAACAGCGGCAGCACTAGTAGTAGTAACAGCGGCAGCACTAGTAGTAGTAACAGCGGCAGCACTAGTAGTAGTAACAGCAGCAGCACTAGTAGTAGTAACAGCGGCAGCACTAGTAGTAGTAACAGCAGCAGCACTAGTAGTAGTAACAGCGGCAGCACTAGTAGTAGTAAAAGCGGCAGCACTAGTAGTAGTAACAGCGGCAGCACTAGTAGTAGTAACAGCAGCAGAACTAGTAGTAGTAACAGTAGCACCACTAGTAGTAGTAACAGCAGCAGCACTAGTAGTAGTAACAGCAGCAGCACTAGTAGTAGTAAAAGCGGCAGCACTAGTAGTAGTAAAAGCGGCAGCACTATTAGTAGTAGCAGCGGCAGCACTATTAGTAGTAACAGCACTAGTAGTAGTAGTAGTGGCAGCACTAGTAGTAGTAACAGCGGCAGCACTAGTAGTAGTAACAGCGGCAGCACTAGTAGTAGTAATAGCGGCAGCACTAGTAGTAGTAATAGCGGCAGCACTAGTAGTAGTAACAGCTTCAGCACTAGTAGTAGTAGCAGCGGCAGCACTAATAGTAGTAACAGTAGCAGCACTAGTAGTAGTAATAGCAGCAGCACTAGTAGTAGTAACAGCGGCTGCACTAGTAGTAGTAGCAGCGGCAGCACTAGTAGTAGTAGTAGCAGCGGCAGCACTAGTAGTAGTAACAGCAGCAGAACTAGTAGTAGTAGTAGCAGCGGCAGCACTAGTAGTAGTAGTAGCAGCGGCAGCACTAGTAGTAGTAGTAGCAGCGGCAGCACTAGTAGTAGTAACAGCAGCAGAACTAGCAGTAGTAGTAGCAGCGGCAGCACTAGTAGTAGTAGTAGCAGCGGCAGCACTAGTAGTAGTAACAGCAGCAGCACTAGTAGTAGTAGTAGCAGCGGCAGCACTAGTAGTAGTAGCAGCGGCAGCACTAGTAGTAGTAGCAGCGGCAGCACTAGTAGTAGTAACAGTAGCACCACTAGTAGTAGTAACAGCAGCAGAACTAGTAGTAGTAGTAGCAGCGGCAGCACTAGTAGTAGTAGTAGCAGCGGCAGCACTAGTAGTAGTAGCAGCGGCAGCACTAGTAGTAACAGCGGCAGCACTAGCAGTAGTAACAGCGGCAGCACTAGTAGCAGTAGCAGCGGCAGCACCAGTTATAGCAGCATCAGTAGCAGTAACAGCAGCATCAGCAGCGACAGTAACAGTAACTGAATAAACATTACATTACACAAACACGTGTAAGAATAATTGGGTCAGATGACAGAATTTTCATGCCATTTTGTTTATTTAAAATTATTAGTTTCTAGTCAGCACGACTGGTTTTCACATGAACTTCACTAATTTTTTTATCCTAAAAGTTGGTGTTAACGTGATTTACTACTGTATTAGTAGTAGTAAATACAACATAAAGATCAACGAAAACAATTTCGAAACAATGCAAGTTAGTAGAACCCCTGCCCGACTACACATACAGTTGAATGTTTCTGTTCTGAATCAAGTTAGGGAGTTTAAATAGCTAGGAAGTATGGTCACAGAAGATGGTAGAATTGACAGAGAAGTAGAAACCAGATGTCAGAAAGAGAGTGCTCAGCAAGCAGAACAATGAATGCAAAAAGACAGATTATTAACAGCATATTCCAACATTAAGATACCAGTGCCAAACATGGACACTATCTAAAGCCCATATACACAAAATCACAACCCGCGAGATGAGGTGCCTGAGAAAAGCAGCCAACACAACCATCCGAGATCGATCGAATAATGAAACTGTTAGGCAAAATGTGGGGAACGACACATTGTACAAGATTAATCGAGAAAAAGCAGATCAAGTGGTTTAGCCATCTCGGTAGAATGCAGCAAGATCAAATACTATTACATGTACTTCATCTCAGAAGATCAACTACAAAAGCAAGAGGACAACCGCGAAAAACATGGATCGACAACATTAAAGACATTCTACGTCTTCACGCCTGACAATAGCCAGTGACAGCCAAATGTTTTCTCCCCACGGTGCTTAAAAGCAGAAGTGGTTAATGATGATGATGATGATGATGTAGTAGTAGTAGTAGTAGTAGTAATAGTAGTAGTAGTAGTAGTAGTAGTAGTAGTAGTAGTAGTAGTAGTAGTAGTAGTAGTAGTAGTAGTAGTAGTAGTAGTAGTAGTAGTAGTAGTAGTAGTAGTAGTAGTAGTAGTAGTAGTAGAAATAGTAGTAGTAGTAGTTGAAGTAGTAGTAGTAAAAGTAGTAGTAATAGTAGTAGTAAAAGAAGAAGAAGAAGAAGAAGAAGAAGAAGAAGAAGAAGAAGAAGAAGAAGAAGAAGAAGAAGAAGAAGAAGAAGAAGAAGAAGAAGAAGAAGAAGAAGAAGTAGATGTAGTAATAGTAGTAGTTGTAGTAGTAGTAGAAGTAGTAGTAGTAGTAGTATGTGGAAGGTAGTGGAATAGAATGCTTCACGTATGTGGAAGGTAGTGGAATAGAATGCTTCACGTATGTGGAAGGTAGTGGAATAGAATGCTTCCCGTATGTAGAAGGTAGTGGAATTGAATGCTTCCCGTATGTGGAAGGTAGTGGAATAGAATGCTTCACGTATGTGGAAGGTAGTGGAATAGAATGCTTCACGTATGTGGAAGGTAGTGGAATAGAATCCTTCACGTATGTGGGAGGTAGTGGAATTGAATGCTTCACGTGTGTGGAAGGTAGTGGAATAGAATGCTTCACGTATGTGGGAGGTAGTGGAATTGAATGCTTCACGTGTGTGGAAGGTAGTGGAATAGAATGCTTTACGTTTGTGGAAGGCGGTATTCGGAAATTACAGACTGGTCTCCTGGACCACACATGGACAGGTCCTGCATACAGGTCTGTGGCAAGAGACAGTCCAGAAGTGGGACTTGGACGCACAACGTAACCGACTTTTGACTGAAAATTCCTTGAGGTCAGTAGTAACAGCAGCAGCATTAGTAGTAGTAGCAGTAGTAGTAGTAGAAGTAACAGTAGTAGTAGCAGAAGAAGTAACAGTAGTAGTAAAAGAAGTAGTAGTAGTAAGAGGCGCAGTAATAGTAGTAGTAGTAGTAGTAGTAGTAGTAGTAGTAGTAGTAGTAGTAGTAGTAGTAGTAGTAGTAGTAGTAGTAGTAGTAGTAGTAGTAGTAGTAGTAGTAGTAGTAGTAATAGCAGAAGTAGAAGTA